CCCCCCCCCTGCCCCCCCCCTCCTCCCGCCTTTCTTACCCAAGTCCATCGTGTGCAGCGACGGGTGTCGCTCGATCGCCCCAGACACAGCCTCGGCCCCGCCGTCCCTCAGGTGGTTGTAGCACAGCTTTAGGCAGGTAACCCCGGTCGCCGCCCACAAGATCGGTCCCAGGAGCAGGGCTTCCCGCGCCGTTATCTCGCGCCGCATGAGGTCCACCATCCCGTCTTCTGTCGCCGTGGCCGCGGTCGCCGTGGCCGCGGCCGCCGCCGCCATCCCCAGCCCCCCCCCCTCGTTCTTGGAAACTGCTGTTGCGGAGCCCCCCCTCGCCCGTGCGGGGCTCGTGCTAACCCCGTCGCCACCGACGGCGGCCGATGGCGACGACGCGCCGCCGTTACTAGTACTTGATTGGCAGGCGTTTTCTGCAGTGACGGTGGAGGCGGCGGCAGCCGCCGCCGTTCCCACCTGCATCCCCACGCTTTGCGAGGGGTCGTCCATGTCGAGGCTGCTGCTGCCGCCGATGCCGCCGCCGCAGCGGTGGGGGTACCGGTTCGCCGGGCGAACCCCGCCGTCGCTCTGGGATCTCTCGTGGCCGCTGTGGCTGTGGCCGGCGCCGTTCCTACGGCCGCTGCTTCTCGGGGGCTGGTTATTCACCCTTCTCCCCGCGGACGGTACCTGCTTCTGCTTCTGCTGCTGCTGGATGTGGGTGCTTTGCCAAGGAGCCCATTCCGCCGCCCCAGAGGAACCGGGGACCTTCTTGCCGGCGCTTATCCCCGGCGCCGCCTGAGATCCGTTGATGGGCGCAGGTGCCGTCGTCGCCGCCGCCGTCGGCGAAGGCGGCGGCACGGCGGGCTTGCTCGCTCGCGGCATGGGGCTGCTGCCGCGGCCGCCGCCGCCGCAGCCGTCGCCTCTGCTGCTGGCTTGGCCGTTGTTGTCGCCCGTGGATGGCGACGACGAGGGCGAGAGCGCCAGCCCCAGGCGCTGAAGGAGAGCCAGCAGGTCAGCCTCATCGCCGCCTTCTTCTGCCGCTGCCGCCGCCGCCGCCTGCGTGGGCGCTTCTTCTCCTTCCCCCTCTGATTCCATGCCGCTGCTGCTGTGCCAGGGGTCAGATTGGCGGCGAAAAAACGCTACTACTGCTCTTTCTGCCGCTTGGTGCTGTTGTTGTTGTTGTTGTTGTTGTTTGCCCGCTGGTTCAGCGGGGTCGACGCTTTCCGTCGCGATTTCGATATGGATGTTGTTTCCGCTGCAAGACACGTCAGGCAGCAGCAGCACGAAAAGTGGAAGGCGGACGGCGGACGCAGGGCGACACGTTCTTTAACGCACTGTAATACTGCTGTCTTGTTGTGCATCAGATCGCTTTTCTGGGTACCAACCAGTCTGCCTAGCAGTATTTATTTACCTACCTTGCGAAGGAAGACGTATCTCGGCATGGCCTGTATTTACGTAAACATGTGCTATTTCTTGAAAAAAGGGACTTGTATGATACGGAGTTGTACGTGACTCGCTTTGAGTGCTCTATTCTATGCATACTGCTGCTGTACAGACGCTTGCTCTCGGGAGAAAAGCTACCTGTAGTCTAGTGTTTTTCCCTCTTCGCGTATGTAACACGTTGTTGGGTACGGTATGACATATCTCTGTAGCATCAACTGCCGGACAGCAGGATACGCAGCATGAACCGCCCTGGTGTTCGTCCGATCACGAGGAGGTTCTTCTATTGTAACTTCCTCTGACGGAGAGCAGTAATGTAGTTCAGCGATGTATCTAGAACGGTCCCACGGTTTGCCGCGTATTCGGGCTGCTTGTTCGCCGACATACAAAAAGCGCGTGATAATAAATAGGACGAAAACAACAACAATGGGAGTTGTATGATCTAGCACATCATAGCGCGTATTGTGCTGTTCACAGCAAGCACTCTATTCGAATTTACGGTTGGGGGGAATTAACATCAGCCAGACCCGATGGAAGTTTGCTTGTTGATGCAGTGTTGATGGCATCGCCGCGCAAGGGGGAACAAAAAAAAAATGATTGCTGCTGGCTCTCGTGTGTCGGGACGATATTGGTGAGCATGTGTATGCAAATGTAGCACAAGTCTATTGTAAGCGTACTCTGTGTGTCCGGAGAGGTTTGCAACAAACTCCGGCAACAGCAGTAATGGTGGTCATCAGCACGACGGCTTCAAAAGCTCGAGACACCGTCGAGTCCGATGAGGACGAAAAAAGTGGAGTATATAAGTGGCAATCTATCGAGAAAGGGGAAGCAGGAACAGACAAGACACGTGCGCCGGGTGAGGTGTTGCTCATTTTCCAGCGAACAACGAACGTGTCAACCAGGTGTCAACGCACCGAGGATACAAGACGACAACGAACCCACAGCCAGCCACCAGAACAAGCAAGGAACGAAAGCAACAGGCGGCATCAACTCCGGAGCGATCAGCAGGTTTAATGAGTTGCGTGTCCCTCTTGTGTTTTTAGAACAACACTGACAGGGTAGACTGCAGTAACACACACACGCAATGAAACCAAAACATAAAACGTGGATCGAACATGCGGCGAACGCCAGTGTGAAGCATACACACGAACAATACGTCGTCGACTGCGAAAGAAAGAAGCGCTGCACGCAACAACACACCTACCTTTCAGTAACTGGCCGAACCAGGTGCGGACGCATCTACCAGTAGCATGTCCTCTTGTCCAGCCTACCAGCAACAGAGGGGTGCACACGTGCGCGCGTCGTGTGTGGGAATCTCCTTCCCCTTCCCCCCCGCCCCCGTCTCTCTCTCTCTGCGCGTCAGCAGCCTGCAGCAGCAGCAGCAGCAACACTTTTTTACGTTCTTTCTCGCGGAGTTCACGCTGCCGAACAGCAGTGCCTCTTTGCTCTTCCGACACCCGACCCGGGGTGCCCGGTCTCGCAGACGGCAGCGGGTAAGCTTCGTGGCTGCGCAAAGGCGCTCGGCGGGAGAGCCTCGACCCTTTGTGAACCTCTCCTTCCCGGCTGTGATCCAAAAACCCAGGGCAGAACAACCAAGCGACCATGGTTGATTCACAAAGCAGACACAGAGGCACGTATTGGTAGATATCTCCGAGAGATCGTAAATGGGGGAGACGCAGATGGAAAAATATCCCCATTTTCGTTTTTTTCTCTATTCTGTCTGCTGGAAAATAAACGGGTTTGTTGTTTGTTGCGATCCAAGCAGCCGTCGGCAGCCGCGGAAGATCCGCTGTGGTTTTCGTGTGATGGGCGGGCCAAGAACTGCGCGCGATGTCAGCAAGATCGGCGTGGCGGTGTCAGAAAACTGGCACGGCGCGATGAGCTTTTGGCGCCCTCTTCTTTCGGAGTCTGATGGATTGAATGGTTAGGTCCGGTTTTGGAGACCACGGACAAAGATGCTGCGTGCGCCGCCACAACGGGAAGGTGCGTTATTTATCGGCAGACAACTCTTCCGGGCTGCAGCACGGTTCTACGTGATGCGCCTGCCTGCCTGCTGTACCTGCAGCACAGCAGCAGCATTTCGCAAAATGATTGTTTCGGTGTGTATGTCTGTGCGTTTTCTGCCCGCTGCTCTATCTTTGAGTACCGATTCTACACGAGAGTGGCTGGAAGGTCGCCAGGATACATGGTGTTGCAATCAACCAAACAAAGGTCGTCTTGTTGTGGCGTTTGCGTGGGGTGTGTGATGCAAAGTACAAGTACAGGTGCATATGCATACAATCGTATTTGGTGTGGCTCTTGGCTCGTTGGACCATGGCCTTTCAAGTAGTACATTCGTTCACCGTTCACGTGGCACGGTGAATGCAAAATAACGATCGATCGATGTTGTTGTTGTACGCCCGCCCGCTCTAAACCAGAGACAACAAGCGCCACACCACACGCTAAAAAAAGTGAAACAGCAGGGAACTACTGTAACAACTGCCACGCATGCCGGAACTACATATTGCTGCAGCTGTAGCTGTATGTACTACTTGCAGCTCCCCCTGATAGTGCTGAAGATGTTTTCGTCCTCGCAAGCGTGTTGCTTTGGCCAAAATGAATATTTCTGGAATTCGAAAACATTGATTCCCCACGTGATGGCGATTGGTCTACGACACTACAATGTAATGTAGCCAGGTGATGATTGCACAACACCCAAACCACCACCTGATCTACATAGACTACAAGTCAAGATATTTATATGCATACCATCGGCGAGATAGACAAAAAAGAGGACAGTTGCTTATCGGCTCCCAAGGAGAGTCAGTCGCCCGAAAAAATATCCGTTGCAAAAGCTTTCTCCTACTGAGCAACATCATGATGCAAACGACATGATGGCATTCCCACCAAGGGGAGAGTGCTCTCCGTCTCCGCACTACAATACGGGGTCTTGCTCAATTGCCCAAAGGTGATAAAAAAGGTATTATTGATTCATTTCCCCGTCTTGCTCATCTCAGTCGACGATGGGATGCGTGCCGAAAGGTCATCAAAACAAAGCTAGCTGGACCTCGGTGCGCGAGTGCAACCCCATACCCACTTACCCATCCATGCGACCCGCCCACCCCAGGGAACGAAAAACGGCTCGTCTGTCCAGAATCTATTGAGGGCGAGCAACATGAGACTATCCCCCCAAACACACACACACCCTTAGCAGGATGCAGCGCACCCTCCATGCGACTCGCCGAATACCTCACCGCGCTTCGCGCTTGGTGATGTGAGAGCCTGGTTTGGCGAGAACCAGGCGTGCTCCGTCCCGGATTTGTTGGGATGCGAGGTCAATGGTCAAACGACTACGGCATGCACGACTGTGAGTACGCCCCCCTCGCCGCCGTCCTTTTCACGTTGAGTCACCCCCACAACAATGCCACCCCCACCCTTCTCTGTCAATGCTTGAGCCACGCCCATATAACCCCTCCGCTTTATTCCGCTCCCAATTGTTGACCGTGGCGCTCTATGCACGTCCCTATCTATGGTAGCTTGACCCCGACAACAACGATGTTTCTGCTTGCCCAGGCGGGGGGCGTCCAACGAGAGGACTGGAAAATACGCTGGAGGCGGGACGGAAAGAGAAGACTGTAAATAATTACGTCATGACCACGATGATCATGGTTCGGTTGTAACTTTTGTGGAGTCGGCGGCGGTGTCGGGCGAGAAAGAGAATCCCGACAGCGTTGAAGCGGCCCTTGCGGTGATCGACAGGCTACTTGGGTAGTCTATTGGGTAAAGCCGTTGAGTGTGGCCATATACTCCTCCTGAAAGGCGGTGGCTATTCAATTGCTCGGGAGGCAAGACTTTTGCTCCCATGTTATTGTTGTTGCTGGTTGTCGGTAGTACTTTTGTTGTGGTCGTTTTTTTTGTTCTTGGCGGCGTCGTTTGTTCGTGTGTCTGCAAATGTAGGAAGGATCTGAGGACGGTTCTGTGTTCCGTAGATAAAGGGACCTACTGTGGTACCTGTTGTGGTAGTCAGCGGTGCCCCCATGCTGCGTCAGCCTGTATGGCACTCTCTCTATCTTCTCTGTCTGTCCTGCGTTTGTCCTGCGGATCTAATACAAGCCATCAACGAGACTTTCTAGTCACTGGACACAAATACGGGCACACCCGGCACATACTCCGGCTCAAAAAGTGATCAGTATCGTTTTCGTTGGAACGTTGAAATTCCAGAGACACACGCAACATGCAGGAGTAGTCTATCTAGTGCTACCGCGGTAACGGACAGCGGATACATACATAGTGATATCGTGGGTGGGTGGAGATCTTGGATCGGTGAACCTGGAAAGTGCATCTGCCCTCCTTTCCCGAGTGCTGGTATTGGCCATATACAAGGATGTGCGGCTTCTTCGCAAAAAAATTCATATCCAGTGACTAGTTTTGGTGTTGGTGCTGTCGGTTTGTCAACGTGCTTGATCGAGAGATGAGGCGTGGTTTGCCACGTGGTGGAGGAGTGCATGAAACACACGAATCGCTTTTTATGTGGAGGCTGGCCTTCTCTTGTGGGCGCCGATCTCCATAATCCTACAAAAAATGTCTGGCAATATATACCCCGATGTAAATATGTTGGAGAACCAGGACGACCTGCAAGCTCACGCCACGGTCTGTCTGCGGTTTGGGAACACTGTCGCGTTCGTCCTATACCTTAGGACAAGACCTACCTGTGACTGAGACACACGCAAGAACCTACCGATCGATGCGTATGATTGGGAGGGAGAGGGCGCGTTTCTTTTTTTAACACCCGGTGGAGAAGGTTGAAGGAAACTCCTCCCAATATTTTCTGTTGCTCTGTCTCTTGGTTTTTGGTGCGACCGCAAGGCATTTCAGACAGCCTCGACAATGTACTGAAATTTTGTCTGGCACACTACATATTTCGATTGTCGTTGGGTCGAGTGACACCTCTTGCGCACTTAGGTGGATGAAACAAACTCCGTGGACTCCTCGTTGTTGCAAAAGTTACGAGCCGTGTGAAGTATTGCGGAAGGTCAGGGTAGATGCAGGTTAGGACGGGATTATTGTGAAAGACACCAGTGATTGGTCGATGCCGACCAATAACAAAAGTAGGCAACGGGGGAGGGGGCGAACGGCTTAATCTACGCTGGTGGCCAGAGACAGGTTGTGGGTAGGTTGGGGGACCAACTACAGCCTGGTGGGGGGAGGTTACAGGGAAGTGGCAGCCCAAAGTGTGCAAGCTATCCCCCATCTTGGATAGTGGCGTTATTCCAATCAACACGGGGTCAAAGTCGAACTCCGCCTCCCAACCTTCCCCCCCCGGGTTGTGGTTGGTGCCCAACCTGCCCCTCTGGTCACCAGTGTAGATGCGTTTCTCCTTTGCTGTGGTGACGTGAGGTGACTTTGATCTCCATCGTACAAAATCCCCCCCTCTGCTTGGCACACATAGTAGTGCTCGGAGTGTCAGAAGTCAGAAGGGGGGTCACTTCTCTTCTGGAGCGCTTGCTAGTCAACCTATTGGTGAAAAAATGAAATATCCATTGTTGGCGTTGGTTGTGTATTTTCTCGAAGTACGTTGGTTGTTGTTGTTGTTGTACGTTGTTTTGTCTCTCACTTCCCGAAAAATGCCATTTCTTTATTTTTGTGTCGCCGCGCAAAGGCCGGGTCTTGGAGGTGGAACTCTCCCCCTCCCTCCCGGCCCTTAAGCCTACTAAGGAATCCAAACGCTTCCTTAATTAATAAGAACCAGGCTGACCACATTCCGCTGGTCGCCCAGCTTGGACACAAAACCTCCATGCCTTTCCATGCTCTGCTCAAGCCTTCGCTTTCGCCCGAGCACGCTTACGTCGGCTTAACGGTCGTTTCATGTCCTGCCCTTTGGCCAGAGACACGCTTACCTTGACCATACTCCTCGCATTATTCAGCCTTTCCATGCCCTGCTCAAGCCTAGAACATGCTTCCTCGACCTTCTGGTCTTTCAATGTCTCGCTCTCGCCAACAACATGCTTACCTCGGGTTAACCGGTCGTTCCGTGCCCTGCTGCTCAACAGCCAGAGACACGCTTACCTTGACCCTACTTGTACACCATCTGTGCCTTCCCATGCCCTGCTTCAGCCTAGAACACGCTACTACCCATGTCTAGCTTCCGCCCGAGACACGCTTACCTCGGCTTCAACAAAAAAAAAACGAACCGACGATGCTCTTGCTCTCTTTCTCTGTCTGTCTCCTCCCTTCCGTACACTCGCTTCCTTCTTCTTCCTCCTCTGTCTCTCTTCTACTCCTCCTCTTGTTTGCTTGTTGTCTTGCTCTTTCGTTCAGATGTTTCTTCTGTTGTGAGCAAGGTGCATCTCTTTCCTTTTTCTTTTCCTTTCGTTATACATACCTACCTATCAATTCTCTCTTACCTTCGGTGCCCCCTTTGATCTTTCTAACCGTTCTGACAAAACACCAGGTTGTACAACACAACCTTCCACTTGTACGTTGTTGTTACCTTTCAGATGGTTGGTCTTCGATCTCTGCTCACTGCAAGATACTTTTTAGCATTCGTGATTCCAACTCACGCGGACGCCTCCGTGGTGGCAGGCCCACTACATCAACAACAATAGGGTGTGCTACGTCTTACGATAAATAAGCACAACCAATCGCGATAACACGAGAATGCGATACGCGTGCATGACTGTTAAAGAAGCACGATGATCACTAGACTACTAGTCATCCCTGTGATCAACGCTGTCTTGCCCGAAGATCACATCGGTACAACATGTTCATCGGCTTATTTTGCGAAGTCTCATACTCTCTTTCTCCTCATACATCGGGCGCGTACATCACATCTATCTGTGAACACACTACTCTCTTCCTCTGGAGGGCCCGATTCCCAAGGTATCCGGTCGGTACACCTTCGCATTGTTCTCACCGAAGGAAAAAAGAGTGAGGTATCGATCAATGAAGTTCGAGCTCGGACAAATCTGATCTACTGTAGTTCTCTGGATCTAGCAAGCAACGCCTCGGAGAAATCTGGATGCCCCTCAACAGGGCCAGGACGTTGGAGCCTTGAGTAAATGGGGAGTGTTTTGCAGAACCTGGCGTATGGGCTATTGTGCAGAACGAGACTTAGCATCGAACGGATGGTTTTGCTAAAAGGATGATGTGTCCACAAAAAGTACGTAGACTACGGCTTTGGGGGTGACCTTTGGTAGCACATGTCGCACAATGTTCTGAACAAGATTTGTTTCAACTCGCTTACGCTCTTCGACTGCTGTCCAGCTAGCTACTCGTTATCAGGTCTGACTGCTGTACATAGGACAGCAGCAGGGTAATGCCCAATGATGGGCCACCGCAAGCTTTGAAGAAAAAAAGTCCTTTCCGAGGGAAGACAACAACCAAGTATCCAGCTAGCTGCTTTGTGGTGGTGATATCATTATTACCGGTCGAGAATTCTCACCCTGTTGGTTGTGTACCGTGTACAGCAGTGTGCGGGAAAGACGGTCTTGAAGAAATACCATTGTATTCCGACCGACCAACTACGAGAACGAAGAGCATGCGGAAGCGTGAGCATGAAATGACAAAGACTATCGAATGTGCTTTGTATTGATGGGGAGGTCAAAATACTATGTCAAGGATCCCCGACGACGGGTCGTCGCTCAGAAAGCCAGAAAGATAACACGATCACACCCGTCCAGGCAGGCTCTGAGGTCTGCGGGAACACACAGGTATACCAGGAGGTGTACCATATGCGTCAATACCTGTACTCGACGACGTATATGCAATGTAGCCTATGATGGTATGCCAGTATTGAAACCTCGACAGCATATGATGCAGGCAAGTTGGTTTCAATTGTTGTCTCGATATGGCAAAGGGCAAGCCATTTCTACGAGATCTACAAGATCTACGAGATCTACTGTACAATACGAGATCTCCGGAGAGAGCAGCTTGGCTTATCCTTGTTTTTTCCGCTCCCTCCTCAACACTAACTCGTTCGCTTGGGCTCTTTCTCGCCATGTGTATGATGAGAAGGCGTAGTGGCAAGCAGGGGAAGTCACGTTGCATGAAATCGCTCCCATATATCATTCTGCAAACCTTGGGGGCGAGAGCAGAAAGAGACCCATGGCTTGGCGCGAGGATGCTGGAGATCCCGTTCGCAATATCCAATGTTGCTGGGGAGCGGCCAACCAACATAGGTGCACGCAACGGGGCGTAGAGGATGCGGCAGCCGCCAGCTGATGGCGATTGGATACGAATTCCCTGAACAAAAAAACACAGCAGGATGGGGACTGGATAGGTCCTGTTGCCGTCGTCACCAACCGCTAAACGACCACGCGAGGAACCTGTTGAACGGTACATAGTCTACAGCAGCAGTCTCCAGCAGTTGATGTCCAAACCAACCGCTCATACCAGATATTACACAGCCATTTTGTTTCACCGCAAGCCTACGCCGCCCAACGCCCATTGTTTATTCTTGATAAGAATCTTCGGTCAGGTTCGATGCTCTTTTGGATAACGCAGCAAGCGTGGCGAGCCGAATTCTTCAGGCTGCAACTACCAACAAGTCGTCGCTCCACGTAAGCCCTGAAGGGGAGTGGGGCGACTGGGGAGCCGAAGGGGACCGAGCAATAGCTATCGCGGTAGAGGAAGCTTTGAGCGGCGCTGGAGGTTATGTTCATAACCTAATGGAGGAGGAGCTCGTGACCGCGTCAGCGAGAGGTGTGTGTGTGTGTGTGAAACATCACAGCATGCATAGTTCCCTATAGTATGCAAGGCGCATGCATGCACATCCCGACGTCCTACTTATGATTCACCGCAAGCTCCCCTACCCGCGGCTTCAAGTCGCAAGAGGTCTCGAGACGACATGAGCCACAACGACTTCCAAACCCCGATTTGTCCTTGGTTATCGTGCTGCCGCTGTCGGTGTCGTGCGCGTCTCGTTTCTGCCTCTCTTTGAACAAAGTAGAGGCCAGCGGCGACTGGCTGGAGGCTGCGGATGCGACGTGCGCAACGCTAGTCCCGCGGCGACGACTCGAGATTCTCGACATGTATCGCTTAGGCAGGTTGGATATCCAGGGCATAGATTGCTCGCAGCCATCCCAGCTCTACTCTCCTGGAACGATTTTGTGAGTTTCGTTAGGAACGGGGACAATAAATTAACTGTAATGACACCTGTTGCTGACTGAATGTGCAGTTTATTCCAAACTTGTTCATACAGTGACCCCATAGGACGGTTAGTCCTCGGGAGGCATTGACAACATGTGAGTCTTGTTATTGGCCGATAAAATCTTCTAAACCCTAGCGTCGTTTCTTGTGGGCGGTGATATGTTGCATAACCTGTTTCTCATCGGCCTGCCGGGGCTAGACGCTCCTGAACGTTTCCCGATAGCTGCTGGAGAAGACTGGTACCCGAAGATAACAACTGTTGATATGATCCACATTGGAAAGAGCTAAACTTCCTGGACTGGCAAAATTACCTTGTAGTAGTTCCCATCTGCGATGCTTCACTTATTTCGCGCCGTGAAATACTACAGATGCAATCCGTCTGCCCCTGCCGCGGCCGCGTCCCGAGCTGAGCTGAAAGAGACATGGCTGGCGGACTCGACCTCGAGCTTGATGGCCTGCAGAGCATTTTTTGACGTTTCGGAGATGGAGTACGCTAAGGTGCGATTCAGTTCTGGTTTGTTAATCACTCTTCTACTCCCTCCAGTTGCTTCATGCAACGGTGATGTGCCCACCAGGAAGTTGGCTGGCCCGAGGAGGAGAGGGAGGAGGAGGAGGAAGTGCCCGAGATCATGGTTTTGCCTTTGTGTTTGGGAAACAAACCACGCTGTTGCTGAACGCGTCAACGGGTAGAACATGCACAGGGCATGGGGGGCGGCACGGGGTCTATTGGGTTTTCTCTGTTAACTGTAGTACCACCATTTGATTCTCCTAGTTGGACACTTCGTTGTCCGGTTCCATTCTCCGTCTGTCTCTGAAGTTTGCGCTGCCCTTTTTTCTCGAAGGCGGCGTGCCTGCGTGCCGTGCGTCTGGGTGGAACGTCGGCGGATGAAGCTGCCGAGGTTGACATGCGCCTGGCCGCGATAGCAGAACGCTACGGCCACCCGTCAGCCGCAGTCCACATGTACTTCCACATGATGGCGAACCCCGCCACAAACGACCACGGGCGGTGAGCAATGGAAAATGGGGTTGCATTGAATCGAGCCCATGCGTTCGTGGGCGAGGAATACGTCCATATGTTCACAACAATCATTCTTTTGCCGGCAACCGGAGGTTTGGCACACGGAGCGTGTGACGATGTGTACGCGGCTTGCAGATAACCCTTCCTTCCCCCTCTGCAGTGCTTGTTAGTGAGAGGACACTGTTCTGCAGAACCACAACGTTAGCCGTAGTATCAGTACCAACGTTCCCGGAATCGAGTTTGGAAGCACTATCATGCGAGATGAGCCTTTGAATGTATCGATCATCCTCTAGCAGTTTCCACCACCAAAATAACCGATGTGTGCCATTTCGTCGTGAAAACAACCGTCATCGATCTTATTTTGCTTGGTACTAAAGGGGAGTGTGTATGCTGATCTCTGCAGCCTTGATGGGAAATTTTTCGGATTGAGACCTAAAAAGCCAAACCCCTGCTGGTTCACCGTCGGTCCATTTCTGTGAAGCGCGCCCATCTGCGGTATTGATGTCTTTCGTGTTTCGCATCATGATTCCCCACCCAGGCTGGTCATGTCGATCCTCGGGTTGACGATGGTCCCACCCACGCTCATTGGATCACGGCGAACGATCGCCGAGTTTCGCTCAGGCTGGGTGCGCGACTTGCAAACCCTGCGGAGGAACCTCGCCACCGGAGCAACCCCGGGTGAGCTCTGGGACCCTGCAGGCGAGGTGGGAAGGACGCCGTTCAATCTGGCGCACCAAGGCGGTCCGGATCTTGACATGATGACCTCCCTCGCTGGGGTGTACGACGCCGCGGCTCCATCTCTCCGGTATGTCGCTCCACATTGCCGCAGAGACATGGGCGACGATAAAGCTGCGACGACAAATCAAGGGCACTCGGAGAGGCCGGTTCGCATAGGTAGGGTAGGCTGTATAGGCTAAATGTTCCGTAATGGAGACTTGGTTGATATGTTCTGGGGTCTTCGAGAAAGAGCAACTTTCTTTGTCTTGCCGGTCTTCGAGAAACTGAATCGAAGAAGATTACTATTATAGTCTTTCGGCAGCACTCCGGTCCAGCAGTTGATAGGTATAGGTTTCAGTAGCAGCGCTCCTTTGTGCGAGCAGCTAGACGATCTTGCAAAAGGACGGCGAAGCAAAACATTTGGGGGGCTGCCCTCAGCACGACAAATTATCCTTCATGTCATTCTCAAAACTCTCGATGCATACATTCACCACTACTGAAGCAATGGGACAAAACACAGTCCAGTTTCAACAACATCAAATCAACCTTGTCGAATCAACCTTGTCGCTGTCAACTGTTTTTTCTTGCGTGCCGTCTACCGCACGCGACAAAAAAAAAGGTTTTTTCTCGATACACCTGAGAGACCACTCCGTCGGCAAGATGATGGGTCTTCTCATCATGCTGCTGGCGGATAATCCACGTCTGGAGGTCCATGTCTTCGCGCCAGGTGGTGGTGGTGACGGAGACGGGGGCGACAGCCAGGCAGGAGACAAGGAAGGGGGGCGGGGGGGAGATGATCCGGTCGTCAACGGACTGCGGTCGGCGGTTCATCACTGGCATCAGGTTGGACACATGGATTCTAAACACTGATAGTGCGAACGCCCGTGAATTAGGACGAAAAATGGTTGAGCCCTTGTGGAACTAGAGAACGAGAAACAAAAGCGACATACGGTAGTTTGTCAAGTATGAAAGAAAGGAGCGCCGAAGAAAAAGCGAAGAAAGTGTAAGTATCACATGTAAATATGCAGGGGTCGTTCATGCGTATACACATGGTCCGATGGACCCAAGAACGCTCAAACGGAGTTGTGAGCCACTGCTTCAAGCAAGGAGGCAGGTAGGTCGAACGAGACATGGCATGATGTGCCTATGTTGCAAGGCAACAGAGAGTAGCACGCGCACGACGAGAATTTGTCTCGGAGCACTATCCAAGACCTGAAAGAGTGGACCACTACCCACACAAGCGGGATGCTCTTTGTTCTTGAGAAGCGCAACGAGCACATTCTTCGATACCCAACTTCACACATAATTTCCCGGTTTCCAACTGCTGTTGCACCTATATGGGGCGTGCGGTGGACCTGGACAAAAGGCGCCTCGAGACCTGCACTCGGCGAGAAGGGCGGTGTCGCAGGAGAAACTAGACGTGCTGGTGTATCCAGACCTCGGCATGGAACCGCTCACGTACTTCTTGGCATTCGCAAGACTAGCCCCGGTGCAGGTGTGTTCGCACACACCAGACTGTCTCTCAGCTGGTGCGGCACAACGAACGACGTACCGACGGACAGCGTAGGGTTTATCCAATGAAGGTGTTCGCGCACTCTGTAGCGCCCCGGCTGATCTCAAGCACCGATGGACGCGTAGTTGCCAGGAGATGGTAGAGCACTGTCGAAATCGGAATATGGGCGTCATGGCGACTCCACCTAGAAGTACAACCACGGCCTCCAATGTTTCAAAACACTGCCTTCCCTCTCGCTTGGCGACTAGCTTGGTTCCACTCTTTGGATTGTGTGGCATAGAAAATGAAGTGGTTTCATTGGACAATGTACACATCCAAGCAGACATAACCGTGTATGAGCGGACAGTTGTCGCACGCCAGCACCAATGCAATTCAAATTTCATCCTGAGATAATTCCATGCGACTAAGCAAACTGTTCTGTAACGTGTTCAACGGAACGCAGTGCGTCTGGTGGGGGCACCCGGTAACACCTAGCACCGGCTCGGTCGACTATTTCTTGTCTTTGGATGTGGAACTGGAAGGGGGCCAAGATGATTACCTCGAACAGATGGTCCGCATGGACGTGGTCAACACGGCGCACTTTAAGCAGGTATCCCGGTCAATGTTGTCTTTGGTTGGTACGATTCTTCGGCGGTCCACATATCGCGTCCTAACTTGTGGACCGCCGGGTCTCGCTATTGGTCAATACAAGAATGACGCCTGGGCTGCTATCTACCTGTGTCTTCTCGCCCACCGTGCTCCCAAGTCAAAATCACACCCGGAATAGTGTGCGGGGATTGTGAATTCATTTTAGTCATTGAGCATTGAGGATGGGCGAAAACAAGGCGTGCAGCAATAAGCCATATGTGACCATTTATCTCAAGACCGTAGCCCGCCCTTCATCATTGTTTCTCCCAGATGGCCGCATGGGTTTCAGATTTGGGGCTACCGAGTGAGCCACCCGGCCGAAGGGACAACAACAGAGACAAGGGACCCCAGTCGCCGTTGTCCTTCACGAATGGCGGCGTTGAAAGCCTGAGCACATCCCTTCCCAGTACGATTAAGTCGTCATCCAATGCCGACATGGCGGATGTTCTTCAGATCTCCGTTCCCTACGCAGATCTGGCAGCAGCGGAGGCGGGGCCGACTACACCCGCCACTGCCGCCACCACCGGCGTAGCAGCAAGGACGCATAACGAGCATGACGTCACCATCGGCGAACAAGACGCTGGGCCATCATGCCGTCATAAGTACCTGGTAATGGGGCGCCTATTCAAGCTGCACCCGGATTTCGACGCCGCCATCGAGGGCATTCTTGAAGGGGACAAGGATGGATGTGTCATCTTGATCCACGAGACAAAAGACGAGGAATGGACTAGAGTAGTTTGGAGTAGGCTACGGGACGTGCTCGCCCCGCGAGGTAGGACCCCTTCGACATGTATGTGTGACGGTGAGAGTGTTCTTTGTCAGAGGCCAAGAATTACGTCGAATAAAACAGCGAAGACGTCCGTAGATCAATTTCGTTGCGAATGGGAGCAAACTCGATCGTGAAGGTTCACGTCCTGCTGGACACACGTACAGAGGAAAACACAAGGATCATGTCATAACCCTTCCTGCTTCGCCCACTCGGCGTCGATTGCGCTGTAGGTTTGTTCGGCCGTCTACGAATCATGCACCACTGGCTCTACCCGCAGGCTCTTCGCCGCGCCACCGCCGTTCTCGACACCTTCCCCTACGGTGGTTGTTTGACTGTCCTGGAGGTGAGCGGTGATCGATGTTTTACGCACGGTTGCTGCGCTGGCCTCGAAGCCAATCTTACGGCGGTCCAGAGTCATGCCCCTCGAACAAAAACATTCTACTTTATGAAGATGGGAGCCCGTCGGATCCACCGGTTCGCCAACCACGTAACTATTCAACAGAGTTGTTGCGCTCGTGAGGACTATTCCACGGGCTTAACGTTTGAACACATGTCTAAGCTGTCGCTTGTGCCGAGGCGTCTTCGCCTCGTCAATCAGCCCATTCTGTCACGCAAGAATGGCAAGAACGGTATCTGCCTACCCAACCAAGCTGACCTCCCTTCTGTCGACAGCCAAGTCGTGAGGAACAATCTCCACAACACCCCGTTTCGGTGATGTCTTACGTAGCTATTTTCGACGGGTCTTGGTTGTCCGTTACGCTGGTCTTTCTGGGGAACATCGCCACGCCGCGGCGCAGGGGCTGTCGAACGGAGTGCCAGTCGTGACGCTCCCGGCGAAGTATGTGAGGGGAAGATTCGCCTTAGCCATGTATCAACAAATGGGGTACACAGAGCTTGTGGCGGATGATGTCCAGGTGGGTGTTGGTGCGTTGGACCACCGTCCCGCCAGCTGAAAACAGCCGGGTGCGGGCTTTGGTTTGCATCCAGTCATGTCGTCAGCCGAGGGAGAGGACTGAGCATCCCCAAGTCCGACAAGAAAGCTCTGATGCTATCCGTCTTATTTTTTTGCGTACATCTTGCCGTCATTCACCCCTGTCATGGGTAGCGATGAATAGAACCACGATCATTCGAAAAGACTGCTACCATTATTTTTCAGGACGGCAACGTTGGTAACCTCTCTGTACAATATGAGGACTTCGCAGCAGTACTGATCAGAGAAGACCACGACTAGGCCAGTACACGTTCGTCTCGCCACTACATAACAGTTGCCCATCGAATACTGTTGTCAGGTCCCACTGAATTTGGGGTGATATCAATCACGTCGCCTTTCGACGAGTGTCTTCAACTAGTACCCTTACGTCGATGACATACGTAGCCCATGGGCTCTGCCAATACTGTCATGGAATTGTGTGTGGTGTGGCTGGGGATTAGGACCATGCGATAACCATTACCTGTCCTGTAGGGTCAATAAAGGAGTCCGTACGTTGTATATGTGTCACAAACTGTGGCCGTCAATCTCACTACATCGCGCCGCACAAAACAGTGTACATACCCACGTACGAAATGTTTCCAAAAATACGAAATGACTGAACGGAACGAGGTCTTCACCGAACGAAGCGGTCGTTCCGTACGGATCTGTTCAAATAGTATCCCCCCAAAGCTCATCGAGGTTTTCGGCACTGTGCATTGTCGGACGCCAGGAATACGTCTCGCTGGCGGTTCAACTCGGCAAAGACCGAGATTTCAGGCAAAAAGTGGTGACCAAAGTGGAAGGGGCATATCGAGAGTCCTTGCATCAGCACCACCAAAGTGCCCAAGAATGGGCAGCGTTTATCGTCCGTGCTCATCGGGGCGCGGAGTCCAACCGATGATGGCAGAGTGTCCACAGTTTTTACCTGTCTGCCGTCAGCGACGCCATCTTTGTAAAACTTGGCAAAGGAGCAGGGGGTGGGTGTGTATGAAGCTTCCTCGCGGGGAAGGGCGCTTAAACCCTTGGAGTCATGTGCAGCCGGCCTGGGATTTCGTAACCTTAGAGAAAATCATTCTCCTTTGTTTTCACAACTTTTCTGTCACATCACATCACATCACATCACATCACAGATTCCTTTGGTTGGTTTCGGACAGTGGGATCAAGACCCCCAAATTAGAAATAGGGGGAGTTGAATGTCGGACAGACAAAAGCTCGTTCCGGATCGCAAATACCTCTGAGTACCTTTTTGCCTCTGCCTTTCCAGCGCTTGTACCAGCAATGAGATGTAACTACGGTCGCCTATCCGCAGGATACTTGCGATCCGCGGCCATACGGAATCTCGTCCTTTTCTGCGGTTCATGCCTCTTGTTTGATCTCGACAAAGGTTCGTCAATCTCTCCATCTCATCCAACAGTTTTTCGATCTTCGTGCTTGGCACCAGGTGTATACCAGTAAGACTTTTGTCAACAATAGCGCAAAGCCGGACCCAATGAAATCGACCCTCCAAAGTCTCCAAGGATACCTCTAGACCACAGGGCGGTCCTGTAGGGCTGAAAAAAGCGAACCGAAAAGAGAGGGGAACCTGAGAATGACAACATTGTGTTGTGCCATGCGGCAGAAACAACGTGGAGCACATGTCGTCGATATGCTGATGCCGTGTACTCTCTATCGCGCGCAACAACATTTAATCCACCACCGACGAAATAGCCATGGGGTAGATCAGCACTTTGCTCCAAGCACGACAATTACAGGAATCGACTGCACGGGCCCGGACATGGACATCCATACTCGCTAAGAGATACTTGAGTATCTCTGAGGCAGCTCGCCCACCGTCGATGCTATTGTTATACAGCTGCACTCCCCCACCATCTACGTCCAGCTGATTTCACCACACGGAACATTCAGAGAACCTCTAGGGGGGCGAGCCTGGTGTCGGTATGAGACAAGTTACATAGGCACACTCAGATGTACGGCGCCCTTGCACGAGACATTCTTCGGTACTCTTCCAAACCCCGCTTCATACACGACTTTCACCGTACGTCAGCCCCAACATAGACAAACGCCGGCACGACTGTCACCGTCTAAGAGTCCATCACTCGCCAAGGCACAGCCAGACCATGTTGGGCACGCTCGCGTGTACGGCACCGCACCGAAGGACAAAGAACAACGCCTTCTCGTCCTGCATGTACCGTGAGCACTACATCGCCTACAAGCTATGAGTGGGTGCCGATGTAACAAACAGCGACTAAACTGCGGCGAGGCAGCAAACTCAACCCCAGAGGCTGTGCTTCTTCCGTTGGAGGATGGGATGGGCTTCGTCTCCCTCCGAATCCTCTCCGCCCTCTGCGCATAGGCTCATGGAGACCCCAGTCCCCAAGCCCCGACTCCCTCCATTTCGGAACCCTACTGCGGCAGTGGTGATCACTTTCGTCGAGGAGCGCTTCTTGCGCTTGGGGTGCCGCTTCTTCTTCTTCTTCTTGCTGCTGCTGCTCCGCGTATCGGCGTCTTCGGCACTGCTGTTTCCACTGCTGCTGCTGCTGCTGCTGCTATCGCGACGGCTGCCGCCACCGCCGCCGCTGTCTCGTCTGTCGCGCTTCCTGTGGCGACCGGAACTGCTCCGCTTGCTCTTGGACGACGACTTCTTGTCCTTCTTGCGAGACTTTTTCTTTCGACTGCCCTCCTCGCCGTCGCCGTCGCCACCTCCGCGGCTTTCTCCCCGCGCACCACGGCGCTTGCGCTTCTTCTCGTCCTCCTCGAGCAACGCGCGCATCTTGCGGAGCGCGTCTCCTTCCGCGCCGTCGTGAAGGAGGGCACCCAGCGCGGCTTCCGACGCTTCATCGCGCTCGGTGCTGCCAGCGGATGGCATCACCGACGCGGGCATCACCGCACCGCCCGCGGCAGATACGCAATTGAGACCCATCCTGCCGTTGACGATGGAATCTGTTCGGCTTTCGAACGTGGTTGTGTTGCCTGTAGTCGCGGACGCTCCCGGCGTCTCTCTTGCTTCCTGCCGCTCCATGCGTCTGCTTTCGCAGAGAAGCAACACGAGAGACATTCAGCAAATGGGAGAGGAAATCGTTCGAGAGCAGGGCAGTACTTTAGCCGAACGCCTGGAGCTCAACCGGGATGAACACCACCTCTAAAAGCAGTACCATATGATACACACGTTGCCTTGGGAGCGAACAATATGGTAAACTCAACGCAGGGAACACAAAACGGAATGTGACCCATGGCCGCATTCAATGGGACATGGGATCGGAACCCCTGCGAAGTCGACAAGGAGCACGTCGAGAACAGGATCAAGCGTCATCGTAACTTGTTAAGGGAGTCGCACTTTGGGCAAGGCAAAATCCTTGGTACCGCTGATGAGATGATCTCGTCAACTAGTATTACCAAGAGATGATCTGATAAGACTACGACACGCTGGGGAGTTCAGACATGAGTGTGGGCAGCTCCAGAACGAGACTATTGAAGTTTGGCAGCAGCAAGCTCTCGTTTCGTGTAGCGAGCCTAGTTCGAGACTAGTCGATCGAGCACAACAGAAAATGACATATCTATTAGCACATGCTTGAAAAGTACAGGCATACGCGTGCTTCCAAATTGTAATGAAACCTGCAAAGCTACCGGCAAGCATGAAATATGCACTACAGCAGTTGCGATACTATCAACGACCTGACCGTAGGAGTCGCTGTAAAGTACAGCGATATGCAAGGCTGCACGGTCACTACAGAGGCAAAAAGGTTGAGGAGACACACGCACCTTCTCGTCTCTTTCAGGTAGCTGGAGGCGTTCCCATTTTGGGGGTTAACGCTCAGCGCTCGCGACAGGTCCTGCACCGCTTGCCGCAGCCGGCCAGTGGTGGCGAACGCGGCCCCACGGGCAACTAGTCCGTCATCGTGATCCGGACACATACCCAACGCTTGCGTGTATGTGTCGATAGCCGCCTTGGCATAAACAGAGTTCATACGCAAGGAATCCGTATTGTTCGGAGGGGTTTGTCAAGGATCTGATGAGCGTTGCGGATGAGCCATTGCTATTTAGTGCGTTCACGGACTGATCCCGTGCAGTCGTGAGTTCTTTAGTTCATAACAATATCCGGAAAATCACGCAGCACCACGTTTTCCAGCTGCAACTTGCTCCGTCTCCAACGCACTCTCTCACCCCTATAACTACACTCACATACACCCCATAGTAAATAGGCTACATCCAAACAAAATGAAACTGAAACGGTGCACCGGGCCGGGAAAAACCTCACCTGATGCTGACCTTTTCTCGCCAGCTCCACCCCCTTCCGAACTCTTGTGTCAGCCCATAGCCGGTTTTGTCGATCTCGAACTGTGTCATAAAACCAGTTCTGATCCTCACTGCCGCCATGGCCAGTAGTAACATCGGCTTCCCCGCCCTCCGCGGTCGCACCTTTCGCTCCTGCTGCAGCAACCCCCGCCGCGCCTCCCCACGGGCGATCGTCCTCCCCAACATCCAGCACAAACGAAGCCGGTCGTAGTATGCCGAAGGCATCGGCCATGGTTTCCGAGGCGTGTGGGTTGTGGAAAGACTTATCGGCCAACAGAGTTTCGTTGTAAGAAGGCGGTCGCGGTGCTCTTCTACGGGGAGATGACGACGACCACGAGGACAAAGTCGCCGCTCCGCCTGCTTGTGGCCGCCTGCGCTTGCGTCCGCCCCTCCGCAGGGAGCTCCCGCTTGGCGGCAACTCACCGCTGCTTCGAGCCGCTCCACTGCTAGGACTTGTTGGATCGCAGAAGCTGCTGCGGCTGGTGTTTGTAGGCGGTCCCCGTAGGCTTGATTCTTCGTCGTCGGTATCTGAGCGATAATTCGCCCCCAAGGGGCTGCTTTCCTCGCTGTCGTCCTCGTTTTGCTGCTGCGCCTCGGCCGCTTGCTCCACGAAGTCTTCGATCGCGGGCATCCAGGAGAATCCCCACGTGTCGGCATGTTCGTTGACTGAGGCGCCGGCGTCCTCCTCGTCGCCGTTCGGGGGATCGGCGAGCCTTCCACTCGCCTTAACGTTTTCGTTTAGCAAGCCAAGAGAGAGAGAGAAAAATTGGAATGCATCTGCCAGCGCACTGGACAAATCTCACAACGTCACCCCCAACACGGCGAGCGGAGCCGTTTATCTCGTTGTACTGCTGCCTTGGGTGGGTAAACACACAAACACACCAAAAGCGTGTGTTCTGTAGGGTCTGTAAGTTTCTGGAGGATATCGCAAGTTGACACAGCTTCTCACACATCCTTTCCGACTACGCAGGCTACACACAGAGGCAACAGATATGGACACAAGAGCAGTGTGGAAACCACATAACCACGAGGTCACCGACAAGGTTTACGGACGCCAAAACGCAAACTACCCAATGTACCGCAGTGCCTCGAACGCCTGTCCTGGGGCAAAATGACCAGCTGCCTGCGCTGGGAAAGCGACCAACACGATTAGAGCATCACAGCAACAACTATCCACCTCGAAAATGGTGCTGGAGCTGGTGCTTTGCCAACAGCAGTGACGACAGAGGTGCCCGTTGACATCAGAGGGCCGAGTGCATCAGTCCGTGCGGGGTGCCCTCTGCTGGGACGGGAACACCCAGCGACGACGGCTCTCACCTGATTTCGTAGTTTCTCTTCGCGCTCTTGCGCTTTACGCTTCAGACGAATCATTTCGTCATCCAGAGGCATGGACCTCATCATGCCATGCGCTCTTCGCTGTCCGCCACCGCTCTTCGATGTGGTGTTGGTCATCTCACGCCTATGGAAGATGACGCTATACGCTATATATTGTCATCTTCGATAGATAGTCTCGCACGCGGCTCTGTCTCGAGGGGGCACGGAACCGGAATGCGTTCGGGCGAGAAGGGTGGGGTACGAGGGGGTCCGCGAAATACTTCCATGAAAATAAAAAATGGCATGGAGCACAGCACAGGGCGGACGACCACAGACGGGCCCGACAGACCGAGGCAACAACGGATATCACGCCAATCCTCACGGATTACCGCTGGATATATACGCTCAAGCACCATGGGGGAAGAACCGGGCCATATCCGTGAGTATCTTTGATTTTTTGAAGAATATCTCGGAATGCCCGCGCTGCTGGCCTCAGCTCGCCGGCGGTGCTCGCCATTTCCTGCCTCGGCACTGATGTGGTGGGGAATATGCCCTGAGATTTGGTAGCTTGAGATGTTGTTCAAGGTCAATCCCTTAATCCTCTGCCTGTGCCATTGTTGCGCTGAACCTCTCTGTCAAACTCTCTCCCGGGTGTAGACGTAGCTGTAGGTCTTGCCGAAAAACTGGCAAACATACATCTGTCTGCGGGCATGTGTGTGTGCGATGCCAAGCGTTAGCTACTGCTTACAGCAGTACCTTCCGCGCAGCGATCTACCTATCTTGTTCCGCGAACATGCCCCGACTCATATGAACCGCGTGCCTCATGCGTAACAGCACTCCCGTCACCCGACACGCAGGATCTCTTGTCTCCCAGCAACCTCGGCACCGATCGTTGTCCCACCTTGCTTCGCGCTCGGTCTCTTGCCCCTCTTTCGTGGCAGACATTGGGAATCTGCATCCGAGGGTGTCCGTGGCCGATCTTGAGCCCAAGCTGATCAAGTATGGCACCATCACTAACCTCTGGGTCGCCAAAAACCCTCCAGGTACGGATGGGTGCATTTTCCGAGTGTGTTTATGGCTCGGCCGTGAGATGTCTGTGAGCAAGACGAAGCGAAAAACGGGTGATCATTCTAGTCTTCGGGCCGAAAATGTCACTCTGTGTTTCCTGTAAATTTAGTCTCCCACCTGATCCTTCGCGTCTCTAAAGGAGTACAAAGCTGCCGTTGTGTGTAGTGTTTGAAGGGGGTGTATAATGCCACTCCTCTTGCACTTTGTCTGAAATAATCGTTGATAAATTACGCTTTATGATGAGCAGTGTATGCGTTGCATCGCCAGTCGAAAATTTCAGCGCCATAATTATTCCAGAACGTACGGCTGTCTGCCGAAATTTGGGAACATGTCCGTTGTACGCCTCCTCGACATGTTTCTGTTTGTTTGAGAGGACACGACAGCATCGGCAGATCCATGGTACGGTAGCCTCACCTTCCCCTCCCTCTGTTGGTGTTCGCGCACCATACAGTGTGGGCCATTTTCGGAAGAGAGTGCCCGCCTTCTGTCTTCGTGAACCTGAGGAACAGCAGTTGGTTCGTTGCTGGCACTACCGCTGCGCGAGTGGTGACAGGCGAACGGATATGCCGGCGTCTTGACGACATGCCCACGAACACAACATTGCATCATTCGTTCTTCAACTAGTTGTTATGGTACGCCAACCGCGCAGGCGCTCGCAAATGCGTGCAGTTTGTGGAACCGTGAGCATGCGACCACGCACTCAACGCAGCCGTGTAGCCGTGTGGACTGGCCCAACGATCCTGTATTGTATGCATTAAATACTTATATTTTTTGGAGGGAAGTACAACAGCAGCATGGTGACAAGGCAGTAGGATAAGCATGTAGCCTCGCAACCGGCGGGATTGCCCATGACGCGGTTTATCGCCGCTCCCCCCCCCCCTTTTTTGCGGTGGTACCTCGGTCCTAGGCGTGACTATTACATGTAGATTTTTCTCTTCGCTCCGTCTTGAATACCAGCTAGCAGACGCCTTGGCGTTCTGCTGTTTGTGACTTGGCCCCTCGCCCCCTCAACTGCCGTTCCCATGTCAACAGTAGTAATAGCGATGGTTGCTGTTTTGGACTTTTGGCAGCTACAACGACCTCACGACCGATAATGCCTTCACCACCCCGTTCGATCCGACTGTCGTGGATAGGCTCTCTCAGTTGCTGTTGAAATATCACCGTCGACCGCTTCGACCGCTCTGGCAAGATCCACTCCTCCCAGCGTCCTCTGCGTACCTCCGCTTCGTCCCGCACCATGGTCTACACCGCCTCTCGCCGCCGTCCTCGCGAGTAGTCTTGTACGCCCGCGAGCACCAAGCACCGGCTGCCGCACAGCAGCAGCAGCAACTGCAAACAACTACACCAGCGCGGCGTGTTTTTTGTGTTTCCTGTGCCTCCTTGGACGCGACCACTACCTGTACCGCTGTACGCCGCCCGCATCCGCGAGAACAGCAGTACTGCGCGCAGCGGCAGCGCCAGCAGCAGCAGCTCCGCACCAACACCAACAACCTTTAGCATCAACAGCAGCAGCACCACCATCAACAACGTTCACACCGCAACGCCGAGATCGCCCTCCTGAAAACACGCCAATTTCACCATCAACGGCGAGAAAGCGTCACCTCCTGTCATCTTCGTCCGACGTCACCTATTCTGAACGTTCGGTACTACTCCGTCGTATATGCAATGTTTTTTTCGTTATTCCTTTAGTGATATTTTTGTGCTTGGGGAACATAGCACATGGTGGTGCGCCCCCAACGGAGTACCAGCAGCGTCACCGCCAGCTATGTTTTTTTTTTTTTTTCTTTTGGGCCCGGAGCGCGAAATTCCCGCAGTTCCAAAGGGGGTATCTATAACGACCTCTTTCCTCCTTTTTGTTTGTCCTCGCGTCGATTTCGTTGTTCTGGCTCTCGATGTATGCCAGTCTCCGCCACCAATGCACAAGATGCACCTAGTTTTTGTGTTCTTCACGCGTGGCCTTCCTCTGTCTTGGCCTTCTTTGACGGCGTTGGCTGCTTGTTCGCGAACCTGCTCTGCGTTTGAACGTCGTCGTTTGCTCGGCTGCGCCTTTTTTGATCCCGTCCCGTGTTGCAGGCTTCGCGTTCTGTGACTTCCAGAACAGGGCCATGGCCGACGACTGCGTGCGCGGCATGGACGGGCTGAAGTTGGAGAATTTGGCCATCACGGTGGAAATTGCCCGCAGGTGTGTGTGTGTGTGTGTGTGTGTGTGTGTGTGCTTGGCGTGCTTCCCACTCTGCTTACGGCCGGGCGTCAGCAACTGCTGTAGGGGTGTACGGGCACACGCTTGGTGTTGCGTCGGGCTGGGTGCGGTAGCAAGGAGTAGCAAGCCGAAATCAACCCATTAGACCACTCGGCACCGACTGCGCGCTGACTTGTCTACTGGTTTGATTCCGGTCGCTATAAACGAGTCATGGGTTCGAATACCAGGCTGAACACTGTTTGAGTGTTTACTTTTCCTGAGCGTCGCGGATAACCTTGGATAGAGGATGTGCAACAGAAATGCTCGACGCCCGAGACCCTGGACATTCGGAATTTAACGTGGGTGATGGGTTGGCAAGAAAATCAGTAGTGCTGGCGCGGGGAGCGGCACTCCTCGGAATGAAAAGCGTAGCGTCATTTGGACCCCACCACTTCCTTTTTGGCAATCAAAGTCAAACCATTAGACGAGTCAGCTTGACGATCTTCATCTTGTGCTGTGGGTAGGGTGCTCCAATGTACCCTAAAAAATTGTGTTGACGCGTGAGCTGCCTAGGTTACTATGTTTCGCGCTTTTCAAGCCCGGAAGTGTTGCGCGACGACGTGCGTTGTCTGGATGCGTCAGGCTTGCTCGCTTCAATGCGAATTTCTGGCTACGGCACGCGTGTTATCCGATGGCAACCCTCCCGTTCCTTCTAGTCCAATCGCCGGCCGATTTGTGTCCGCGGACTTTTTGGCCCTCTGTTTTTGGTTGTCGCTGAAACTCCCCTGGCTATGCCTGACGCGACAGGCCCAAGGCGAGGGCCCAAGGAAGAGGCAGGGGCGGTGGCGCACGTTTTGGCGGTGGTGGTGGGTACGGCGGCGGTGGGTACGGGGGGGGTGGGTACGGTGGCGGCTACGGCGGGGGCTACGGCGGCGGCGGATATGGCGACCGCGCCAGAGACTCCGGAAGAGACAGCCGTGACAGCTACAAGAGGAGGAGCCGCAGCCGCGACAGGTGCGCGCATGTTGAAGCGCTCGACGTTGGCGCAGTTTAATAGTTTGTTTTGTTGGGGCGCCGTCGTGCGGGTACACACGGGTGGGTGCTCTTGCGTTTTTTCTTTTTTTCCAAGCGTGGGTCGTTGTGAGGTAAGGTGTGCGTGCGAGTGGTGGTTTGCCACGGGGGCTACGAGATTCGTGGCTATTCAACCCTGGGGGAAACGGTTGTGAGAGAGGCGGAAAACAGCTCATGAAAAGCCAGCGTGCGAGGACAACAGCACGTTACTTTCAACCTCTTCAGTACGCAAGGTCGTTACTGCCGGTCACTTCCCTAACGAACATTGGAAATGGCAGGAACGAACTTCTTGGGTTCGTTTTCCGTTCCTTGCGCCCCTTCTATTACGGCGGATCTGCTTTTGAAACAAAAACTGCTGTACCTTCCACTACCATCTTCCCCGCGTTGTTTCACCCATGCACTGCTGTACCCTCCGTATGTTGTGCAACCCCGCCGATTTCACCCCCCCCCCCCCCCCCGCCCCCCCCTTTACTTATGAGCACGTGGATGGATGGGCACAGGGACA